CTGATGTCATTCGTTTTATTTATGGCGGTATCAAGGTATATAAATCTTTACCTCGAAGCTGTAATTCTCAAGTTCCATAGTTGGTCCGAGTCTACTGGACGTCTTGCGTGTTATACCATCAGCTTGGTCTTCTCGCCGTTTACTGCCAGACCCACATTGGCAGCCTCCTTCTTAATTAGATCAAATGTGGCTGTTACCGCTCGCAATGTTCGACCCATTATATCGATGTCATCGGCGTAGGCGAGTTTGGTTTACAGAGTGACATTTCTGTTCACCTTTGCGTCTCGTATGTCCTTTTCCAGCAGGATTTTAAAAAGATCACACGACAGACTGTCACCTTGTCTGAATCCTCGTTCGGTATTGAAGGACTGTGACCTTGTGCCATTCAAAGTTATCCTGCATAGCCGTATTAATTTTGCAGGAATGCCGAACGTAGGCATGGCTTTAAACACCTCTGAACGGATAGGGCTGCCCAATGCGGCTTTATAGTCGACGAATAGGTGGTATGGGTCGATGTGTTTTTCGTGAGTTTTTTTCCAGGATTTGGCGCAGAGTGAGGTCAATGGTGGATTTACCAGGTCCGAAGCCGCATTGGTATGGTACAATAATGTCATTGACCATTGGCTTCAATCGTTCACACAGCACACTGTATAGCACTTTATATGCGATGTGCAGGAGACTTATTCCACTATAGTTGACACATATCGCCTTTTTTTGTGCACGGGACACGGGATGCTGAGGATTCCCATTATTGGGCCTGCATTCCTCTAGCCAAATTGTACTAATCAGCTGGTGCATGCTCCTGACCATCATCTAACCTAACCCATCGGTTCCTGCTGCTTTATTGTTCTTGAGCCGATTAATGACCTTATATGGCCTCATCTTGGCTAGATACCTCTGAACCAATAAGATATGATGGTATAGAGTGTATATCAACATCTCTTATTGGTTCTGGGGTATCTTCTTCTTCCTTCCGTTTGGTGTTTTACTCGTTGGTAAAATTTCCGAACTTCATTCTGACTCCTGTACATCTCGATTTGCTCACGCTCGCTCTTTTTTTGTCCTTTCTTCTTTTTTCGGAAAATACGTTTCTCCTCTCTCCTTTTCTCCCGATAATTGTCCATCGCATTATTTGATGCAACTGTATGCAGGGTTGCCCTATACGCTGCATTTTTCACATCAGTAGCATTACGACACTCCTGATCGTACCATGGGTTTCTTGATGGTGGCTTTTGGTACCTGCTTTTGCTGCAGTTTATAGGGAGTGCGCAATATTATCGGGACAAGAAGTGTTTTCGTCAAGCAGATGGGTAAGTTGACTGGAATAGGCCTCTGTTGTGTTTTCAGCATTTCGACGTAGAGTTTCCGTGATGTGTTAGATCGCACATTTGATGCAACATTAAGACGAGTGCGATCCTTGGCTAGGATACTTGAAAAAATATTCTTTAAAAAATCCACGCCTTGTGTTGACAGACAGGATACTTGAAAAAATATTCTTTAAAAAATCCACGCCTTGTGTTTGGCAGGATACTTGAAAAAATATTCTTTAAAAAATCCACGCCTTGTGTTTGGCAGGATACTTGAAAAAATATTCTTTAAAAAATCCACGCCTTGTGTTTGGCAGGATACTTGAAAAAATATTCTTTAAAAAATCCACGCCTTGTGTTTGGCAGGATACTTGAAAAAATATTCTTTAAAAAATCCACGCCTTGTGTTTGGCAGGATACTTGAAAAAATATTCTTTAAAAAATCCACGCCTTGTGTTTGGCAGGATACTTGAAAAAATATTCTTTAAAAAATCCACGCCTTGTGTTTGGCAGGATACTTGAAAAAATATTCTTTAAAAAATCCACGCCTTGTGTTTGGCAGGATACTTGAAAAAATATTCTTTAAAAAATCCACGCCTTGTGTTTGGCAGGATACTTGAAAAAATATTCTTTAAAAAATCCACGCCTTGTGTTTGGCAGGATACTTGAAAAAATATTCTTTAAAAAATCCACGCCTTGTGTTTGGCAGGATACTTGAAAAAATATTCTTTAAAAAATCCACGCCTTGTGTTTGGCAGGATACTTGAAAAAATATTCTTTAAAAAATCCACGCCTTGTGTTTGGCAGGATACTTGAAAAAATATTCTTTAAAAAATCCACAGCTTTTGTTCGCTATTGATATATGGACAATCCCTGAAAAATTGGAAATAAATATTCAATTTCATTCGAATATTTACAATAATTACAAAAAGTCCTTATTTTAATTACAATTTTAATCCTTTGCTGTGATGATAACCCCATGCTATCCGCTACCTCGCTTCTTTTTAATGATTATTAAATTTTTATGTGGCGCAGATAATAAAATCTTGTTTTTATCAAAAATAAGTGTATCTCAATTAGAACAAAAAGTAAGATATACTTTTGGGGATAAGCAAAGAAAAAACAAAATAGAGCATGCTTTTAGACATACACAATTTAAAAATATTTAAAGTATACTTAGGGGGCCGGTTTGGTGTGCCGAACAAATAACTAAACAACTAAAGTATGCTTTTAGGCATCTTTGACCATTTATTTTTTATTTTTTTAATATTTTATTAAAAAGTTTTTTTTTTTTTTGGTAGTCAACAAAATTAATTTATTCACTGGAAAATTGAAAAAAGAAAAAAACTCATAACTACTTCGCTTTTAAGTTTGCAAGGTAGCTCCTAATGGTCTTGAATATTTGTGGTACAACAAATATGATATTTCTTCTTCAAGTTTTAACAACAGTCAGAAAAAAATTAAAAAAAAATCAATCTCACTTAACAAAGAAGAAGAAAAAAAAAACAAAATTTATGGCAACATTTCAAAAAGAAAAACATGCGAAACCTTCACCCAACTTTGATAGGGGATTTTACAACAGAAAAAAAAACGAAACGAAGCCAGAAAGCTAGCAGAGTTTTTTTTCTTCTTTCAGCGGAAAACTTGTCTAACAGAAGTCAAACGAACAATTTATTATAACTTTAGTGCGGATCAAAGTTTCGGTTTTCTTTATTTATTTATTTTTTTTTTTTTTGAACGGTGGAAAAGGAAACAACTCACAAATGGATTTTTTGAGTAAATAAACCAATAATTTATATTTATATTTTTTTTTGGTTAACAAATAATACCTCATAGTCCTATTTCAATAATGAACCCAACATTTGAAAAAAAAACGCAACCTTAAGTAATTCCCAAGAAATGTCATAAATAAAAAAATACTTAAGAGTATTTAACTGAAAGTGCTTTTCTTTCTTGCTGAGGACAAATGTGTTTTTTCCATTGACTTTAAGTAGCTTTGTCTTCCAAATACATATTGGGATTTAGAGAGGATTTACTTTAGACAGGTTCTATGAAATTCCACAAAGTATAAAAAATTTTTAAAATTTTTTTGTCTACCCCACCTCAGGCTTAGGTTAATGGAGAAAACTTTACATTTTTACAATAAAAACTGTAACTAAACGAAATATTTATCTTAGACCCGGGCAAGTTTCTTTGGACCAACATTTTTATACCCTTCAACACACTTTGGTACAGGCTATTATGTCTTTGTGCATATGTTTGTAACAGGTAAAAGGAATCGTGATATACCCATGGTTCCTTTTGAGAATATGCATAGGATGACTTTCTAAGTCAATTTCGCATGTCCGTCCGTCCGTCCATGTTAAATTGTAAACAATGTACAGGCCGCATTTATTATTCGAAATGGATGAAATTTGGCACAGCTCATTCATTTGGCCCAAGGACGAACCCTATTGAAATTGGGGAAAATCGGTACAGATTTAGATATAGCTCCCATATATAGTTTCGTACGATTTCATGTATGTGGTGCACCAAAGTCCCTAAATAACATTCGATTTACACGAAATTTGGCATAGCGTATTGAATTTAGTCCAGACTGATGTGTGCCAAGTTTCGTGAAAATAGGACCAGATTTAGATACAGCTTCCATATATACTTTCGTCCGATTTAATGTAAATGGTGCACCAATATCGCCAAATAGCTTTCGATTTGCACGAAATTTGGCATAACATACTGAACTGAGCGTAGAGTGATGTCTGCCATGTTTCGAGAAAATCGGTCCAGATTTAGATATAGCTCCCATATATAGTTTCGTGCGATTTCATGTAAATGGTGCACCAAAGTCCCTAAATATCTTTCGATTTGCACGAAATTTGGCATAGCGTACTGCATTTAGTCTGGACTGATGTGTGCCAAGTTTCGTGAAAATCGGTCCAGATTTAGATATAGCTCCCATATATAGTTTCGTGCGATTTCATGTAAATGGTGCACCAAAGTCCCTATATATACTTCGATTGGCACGAAATTTGGCATAACGTACTGAACTGAGCGTAGAGTGATGTCTGCCATGTTTCGAGAAAATCGGTCCAGATTTAGATATAGCTCCCATATATAGTTTCGTCCGATTTCAGTTAAATGGGGCACCAAATTCCCTTTATATCGTTCGATTTGCACGAAATTTGGCATAGCGTACTGCATTTAGTCTGGACTGATGTGTGCCAAGTTTCGTGAAAATCGGTCCAGATTTAGATAAAGCTCACATATATAGTTTCGTCCGATTTTATGTAAATGGTGCACCAAAGTCCCTATATATCCTTCCATATATATTTTCGCCCGATTTTAAGTAAATTGGACATCAGACTCCTCATGTTAGTCAGATTGACATCAAATTTTGCACAACGTACAAAATTGAGCATAGAATTACATGTAATGACATGTTTATTTAGATAAATATCACATATTTTATAGTTCATCCAATTTCATGTTAATAGTCCTGTTTACTATACACATAGTGGTGAAGGGTATCATATAGTCGGCCCCGTCCGACTTTACTACTTTCCTTACTGGTTTTATTTTAAATCAGTGATATTTTTTGCTATATCCTTTGGAACTGATTTTTTATATATTTTTTAATTCTTTGGCCTTTTTTGTGATAAAATAATAATTTTCTTTTATTTGTTTCTCTCCTTCCAGTTTTTATGCTGTAAAAATATTAAACTTTTCATCGATGTCTGTCGCAATCATTTTAAGCTGCGTGAAGCGGATCTCTTCGAGCCTAGTATGCTGTATGATTTGACACATTTTCATCGAGTTCTCATAACACTGTCCAAATTGTCACAATGTGCAAAAGTACAAAAATTACATCCAAATATTGTGTAAGTATAGGAAGAAATAGATTTTTATTATTCCGCCTTGAAAAATATTCGTTAAAAAACTCGCCTTGAAAAAATATTTTTTAAAAAAATTCCCGCCTTGAAAAAATATTCTTTAAAAATTCCCGCCCTAAAAAATTATCTTTAAAAATCAACGCCGTGTGTTCGCCCTAAAAAATATTATTTTAACAACCCACGCCTTGTGTTCGCCCTAAAAAATATTCTTCAAAAAATCTCCGCCCTAAAAAAATATTCTTCAAAAAATTTTTTAAATAATATTTTTAGGGCGATCACAGGGCGGATCGCCTAAAAATCTCCGCCCTTTGTTCGCTCTAAAAAAATATTCTTTAAAAATCCCCGCCTTGAATTACTTACTTACTTAGCTGGCTTGTGACAGAACTTTCGTTCCATAAGTCGAGCTTAGAAAAGATTTCCAGGCGCGTCGGTCTTTTGCGCAGTTTTTCCAATTTGAAAGACCATTTTCGGCGATATTGTCTTGGACTTTATCTTTCCAATTTATTCTTGGCCTTCCCCTTTTGCGTGAACCATCAGCTGGTTCGCTTTTATATGCCTTCTGGGCTGGGGCATCTTCATTAATTCTCACAACATGACCTAACCAATGTAGTCGCTGCAGCTCAATACGTCTAGCAATGTCGATGTCCGAGAATAGCTGGTACAACTCATGGTTCATTCGACGGCGATATTCACCGTCAACGCAGATCCGTCCATAGATCTTTCGGAGAATTTTTCTCTCAAACTCTCCAAGAGCTGCCTCATCTACTTGCGTAAGGAAGTACTGATGCTTCAGATCCGTATAACAGCACTGGTAGTATCAGCGTCTTATAGAGTGTGAGTTTGGTCTGGCGGGAGGTGGCCTTGCTTTTGAGTTGTTTGCTCAGACCATAGTAGCATCGGATGGCAATCACCATCCTTCTCCGAATTTCAAAACTGACGTCATTGGTTTTATTTATGGCGGTATCAAGGTATATAAAATCTTTGACTACTTCGAAGCTGTAGTTCTCAAGTTCCACAGGTGGTCCGAGTCTACTGGACGTGTTACGCTTTGATACCATCAGCTTGGTCATCTCGCTGTTTACTGCCAGAACCACTTTGGCAGACTCCATCTCAATTTGTTCAAAGGTGGCTGTTACCGCTCTCAATGTTCGACCCATTATGTCGATGTCATCGGCATAGGAGAGTAACATGTGTTCTTTGGTGTACAGTGTGCCATTTCTGTTCACTTTTGCCTCTCGTATGACCTTTTCCAGCAGAATGTTAAAAAGGTCACACGACAAACTATCACCTTGTCTGAATCCTCGTTCGGTATTAAAGGGCTTCGAGAGGTCCTTTCCGATTTTAAATGCTCATCTTGTGCCGCTTAAAGTTATCCTGCATAACCGAATTAATTTTGCAGGAATGCCAAACGCAGACATGGCTTAATACACCTCTGAACGGATAGGGCTGTCGAATGCGGCTTTATAATAGGCGAATAGTTGATTTGGCGCAGAGTGAACATCTGGTCAATGGTGGATTTGCCAGGTCTGAAGCCACATTGGTATGGTCCAATAATATCACTGACCATTGGCTTCAGTCGTTCACACAGTACGCTGGATAGCACTTTATATGCGATGGGAAGAAGACTTATTCCTCTATAGTTGGCACATATCTTCTTGTTTCCTGTTTTGTGCACGGGACACATGATGCTGATGTTCCAATCATTGGGCATGCATTCTTCTAGCCAAATTGTATTGATCAGCTGATGCATGCTCCTTATCAGCATCTGACCACCAGTCTTGAATAGTTCGGCTTGTAACCCATCGGCACCTGCTGCTTTATTATTCTTCAGCCAATTGATTGCTATTCTGACTTCATCTTGGCTAGGTCATATATTATTGGTTCTGGGTGGGTATCCACTTCACTGCTGGTCCTTGAAAAAAATATTCTTTTAAATATCCATGCCTTTGGCCTCCCGGTTGTTAAAAAATATTCATAATAAAATCTGAAAAAAACTTTTGGCCCTTTAAAAAAGGACTACGCCTTGAAAAATATACTTGAAAGAATTTTAGGCCCTTGATAATCCTTAAAAATACACATACAAAATATGGTCCTTTAAAAAAGGACTACGTCTTTGATAGTCATTGAAAAATATTTTATAAAAATCCACGCCTTAGGCCTTTTGTCTTTAAAAATAGAATTACGACTTTGATAGTCATTGTAAAATAAACTTAAAAAAATCCATGTCTTAGGTCTTTTGGTCCTTTAAAACAGAATTATACCTTTGATATCCCTGGAAAAAAATCCACGCCTTAGTTCCTTTTGATCCTTGAAAAAAATATTCTTTAAAAAATCCACGCCTTAGTTCCTTTTGATCCTTGAAAAAAATATTCTTTAAAAAATCCACGCCTTAGTTCCTTTAGATCCTTGAAAAAAATGTTCTTTAAAAAATCCACGCCTTAGTTCCTTTAGATCCTTGAAAAAAATGTTCTTTAAAAAATCCACGCCTTAGTTCCTTTAGATCCTTGAAAAAAATATTCTTTAAAAAATCCACGCCTTAGTTCCTTTTGATCCTTGAAAAAATATTCTTTAAAAAATCCACGCCTTAGTTCCCTAAATCCACGCCTTAGTTCCTTTTGATCCTTGAAAAAAATATTCTTTAAAAAATCCACGCCTTAGTTCCTTTTGATCCTTGAAAAAAATATTCTTTAAAAAATCCACGCCTTAGTTCCTTTTGATCCTTGAAAAAAATATTCTTTAAAAAATCCACGCCTTAGTTCCTTTTGATCCTTGAAAAAAATATTCTTTAAAAAATCCACGCCTTAGTTCCTTTTGATCCTTGAAAAAAATATTCTTTAAAAAATTCCGGCGTGTTGAAAAAAATATTTTTTTAAAAAATCCTCACCTTATGTGGGCTTAGAAAAAATATTCCTTAAACATATTATGCTTTGGATGGTCCTTGAAAAAAAATCTTTCTTAAAAGTCCTTTGTCTTGTGGTGGTCCTTGAACAAAATATTTTATAAAAATTTAAGCTTTATGTTAGTCCTAAATTTTTAAATAATATTTTTTTTGTATTTCCAGAGGCTTTAATTTACAATTATCCCCCAGCGAAAGATCTCATTCGGACGAAGCCATCTACAAGGATTTACACTCAACGTAAGTATGGAAAAATATGTTTCAATATATTTTTTTTTTATTAAAAAACTATTTAAAAATAAAATTAAATTTGAATTAAAATAATTTAGACCGAGTTTGAGTAAAGAGAAATTTTAACATTTCTATGACTTTATTCTATACCACTCTCTCTCTTCTTTACTCTCTATCTTTCTCTCTATATATATCTTCTTTCATTTCTATGACTATATTTTTTATATAAAATTGTATTAAAAATAACAACGTTAAACAATTAAAAAAAACTAGTGGTGAAATTTATAAAAATGGCAGCCTCGACAATACTTCGGAAATTTATGATCGCACTTCGCAAAGCGGCTCCCTCTCGGTGGAGGATGAAAACAGTGATATAACAATTGAAAATGAAATGGGCACAGAGAATACCGAAGATTATGAAGATGACAATTTTTCGGCATTGAGTGAAACGATCGAAACCGATGAAACCCATTCCGTCCATAGTGGCTGTAGTGGTGGTGGTGGCGCTGTCGCTGTCATGGGCATAACAGAGAATGGTGCTGAAATGCCGGTACCACCACCACCATTAATGCAACGTTCGAGTAGTACCACTTCGGCTCCACCCTTGGCAATACGTTCCGCTTCGACCTCAGCTGTACGGTCGACAAGTATGGCTCACAATTTAAATCAACAACAACGTCAACAATTGATGTCATCATCGTCCTCTTCGTCAGCAGCAGCAGCCGCTGCTGCTGCCGCCGCCTTTGATCGTAATCAGAATTTACACAGTGTCGCTGCGGCTGCCTATAATTATCATGTCATTACATCGGAAATCGGTCATGAATATCTCAACGATATATATACCGAAGAGGATGAGAAAGTCTACGAGGATTTGTGTTATGTGACATTTTCATCGAAAGTTTCAGAGGTGTGCATGAGCCATAAGCAACAGAACACATACATATATTATTTAAATGGATGACATGATGCTACATGAATTATTTGAAAAACAAAAAATTAAATATATTTATTAAATGTATCTACAGTCAAACATTGATATAACGATCACAAATTGGCCAAAAAAAAAAAAATGAAGTGCTACACTCCCGAATGAATTTCCAAAAAATCGGAATTATCTTCACTAGGGGTCGTTATAGCCATGTTTGACTGCATCCACCTGTAGATTGATGTTGCATTTGTTGTTTAAGACATGCTATTTTTTATTTAATTTTTTGTAATTTTTTTTTTTAATTTTGATTTTGTAATGACATTTTTTCGACATTTACACTTAAACGTTAAAAATCTAATTTAAAAAATCCACGCCTTGTGTTGACAGGATACTTGAAAAAATATTCTTTAAAAAAATCCACGCCTTGTGTTGACAGGATACTTGAAAAAATATTCTTTAAAAAATCCACGCCTTGTGTTGACAGGATACTTGAAAAAATATTCTTTAAAAAATCCACGCCTTGTGTTGACAGGATACTTGAAAAAATTGACAGGATACTTGAAAAAATATTCTTTAAAAAAATCCACGCCTTGTGTTTGACAGGTCCTTGAAAAAATATTCTTGAAAATATCCACGCCTTGTGTTTGACAGGATACTTGAAAAAATATTCTTTAAAAAATCCACGCCTTGTGTTGACAGACAGGATACTTGAAAAAATATTCTTTAAAAAATCCACGCCTTGTGTTGACAGACAGGATACTTGAAAAAATATTCTTTAAAAAATCCACGCCTTGTGTTGACAGACAGGATACTTGAAAAAATATTCTTTAAAAAATATTATTTAAAAAATCCACGCCTTGTGTTGACAGGATACTTGAAAAAATATTCTTTAAAAAATCCACGCCTTGTTGAAAAAATATTCTTTGACTTGGATACTTGAAAAAATATTCTTTAAAAAATCCACGCCTTGTGTTGACAGACAGGATACTTGAAAAAATATTCTTTAAAAAATCCACGCCTTGTGTTGACAGACAGGATACTTGAAAAAATATTCTTTAAAAAATCCACGCCTTGTGTTGACAGGATACTTGAAAAAATATTCTTTAAAAAATCCACGCCTTGTGTTGACAGGATACTTGAAAAAATATTCTTTAAAAAATCCACGCCTTGTGTTGACAGGATACTTGAAAAAATATTCTTTAAAAAATCCACGCCTTGTGTTGACAGGATACTTGAAAAAATATTCTTTAAAAAATCCACGCCTTGTGTTGACAGGATACTTGAAAAAATATTCTTTAAAAAAATCCACGCCTTGTGTTGACAGGATACTTGAAAAAATATTCTTTAAAAAATCCACGCCTTGTGTTGACAGGATACTTGAAAAAATATTCTTTAAAAAATCCACGCCTTGTGTTGACAGACAGGATACTTGAAAAAATATTCTTTAAAAAATCCACGCCTTGTGTTGACAGGATACTTGAAAAAATATTCTTTAAAAAAATCCACGCCTTGCGTTGACAGGATACTTGAAAAAATATTCTTTAAAAAAATCCACGCCTTGTGTTGACAGGATACTTGAAAAAATATTCTTTAAAAAAATCCACGCCTTGTGTTGACAGGATACTTGAAAAAATATTCTTTAAAAAAATCCACGCCTTGTGTTGACAGGATACTTGAAAAAATATTCTTTAAAAAAATCCACGCCTTGTGTTGACAGGATACTTGAAAAAATATTCTTTAAAAAATCCACGCCTTGTGTTGACAGGATACTTGAAAAAATATTCTTTAAAAAATCCACGCCTTGTGTTGACAGGATACTTGAAAAAATATTCTTTAAAAAATCCACGCCTTGTGTTGACAGGATACTTGAAAAAATATTCTTTAAAAAATCCACGCCTTGTGTTGACAGGATACTTGAAAAAATATTCTTTAAAAAAATCCACGCCTTGTGTTGACAGGATACTTGAAAAAATATTCTTTAAAAAATCCACGCCTTGTGTTGACAGGATACTTGAAAAAATATTCTTTAAAAAATCCACGCCTTGTGTTGACAGGATACTTGAAAAAATATTCTTTAAAAAATCCACGCCTTGTGTTGACAGGATACTTGAAAAAATATTCTTTAAAAAAATCCACGCCTTGTGTTGACAGGATACTTGAAAAAATATTCTTTAAAAAAATCCACGCCTTGTGTTGACAGGATACTTGAAAAAATATTCTTTAAAAAAATCCACGCCTTGTGTTGACAGGATACTTGAAAAAATATTCTTTAAAAAATCCACGCCTTGTGTTGACAGGATACTTGAAAAAATATTCTTTAAAATATCCACGCCTTGTGTTGACAGACAGGATACTTGAAAAAATATTCTTTAAAAAATCCACGCCTTGTGTTGACAGGATACTTGAAAAAATATTCTTTAAAAAATCCACGCCTTGTGTTGACAGGATACTTGAAAAAATATTCTTTAAAAAAATCCACGCCTTGTGTTGACAGGATACTTGAAAAAATATTCTTTAAAAAATCCACGCCTTGTGTTGACAGGATACTTGAAAAAATATTCTTTAAAAAATCCACGCCTTGTGTTGACAGGATACTTGAAAAAATATTCTTTAAAAAATCCACGCCTTGTGTTGACAGGATACTTGAAAAAATATTCTTTAAAAAATCCACGCCTTGTGTTGACAGGATACTTGAAAAAATATTCTTTAAAAAATCCACGCCTTGTGTTGACAGGATACTTGAAAAAATATTCTTTAAAAAATCCACGCCTTGTGTTGACAGGATACTTGAAAAAATATTCTTTAAAAAATCCACGCCTTGTGTTGACAGGATACTTGAAAAAATATTCTTTAAAAAAATCCACGCCTTGTGTTGACAGGATACTTGAAAAAATATTCTTTAAAAAAATCCACGCCTTGTGTTGACAGGATACTTGAAAAAATATTCTTTAAAGAATCCTCGGCTTGTGTTTGGCAGATCCTTGAAAAAATATTCTTTAAAGAATCCTCGGCTTGTGTTTGACAGGTCCTTGAAAAAATATTCTTTAAAGAATCCTCGGCTTGTGTTTGGCAGAACCTTGAAAAAATATTCTTTAAAGAATCCTCGGCTTGTGTTTGGCAGATCCTTGAAAAAATATTCTTCAAAAAACCCTAGCCTTGTGTTTGTCAAGTCCTTGAAAGAAATATTTATTAAAAAATCCACACCTTGTGGTTGTCAGGTCCATGAAAAACTATTCTTTAAAAAATCCACGTCTTGTGTTTGGCATGTCCTTGAAAAAATATTCGTTAAAAAATCCACGCCTTGTGTTTGGCAGGTCCTTGAAAAAATATTCTTTAAAAAATGGCGTGTGCTGACAGTTTCTTGAAAATTTTTCTTTGAAAAATCCACGCTTTGGGTTGACACGTCCTTGAAAAAATATCCTTTAAAAAAGCCACGCCTTGAAAAATATTCCGTACAAAAACCACGCCTTGTAATGTATGGTCCACGAAAAATATTCTTTAAAACACACCCCTTGGGTTGACATGTCCTTGAAAAAATATTCTTCCCCATGCCTTGTTTGAACCTTTAAAAAATATTCTTTTAAAAATCCACGCCTTCTATAAATGATCCTTCAAAGTATCATAGTGATCCATCAAAAATGTTTCTTTAAAATATACTTGCTTATGAATTTCATTAAAAATTCCCCAATACTGTTGTAAGTCATGGAGATGTCGGAATTCCTTTGTTGTTGTTCTTAATTGTTATTTATATTTCAATTAAAACTGAACGACAAAAATATATCGACCATAATAATTATTCCTTGGACAAGGACATTGTCGTCGTGTCAGCACATAAATTAACAATTTGCCTTGTTGTTGTTATTGCATGGTCGTGGCGAAGATTCCGAACTTTTTGTGTCTGATGATGTGCTCGGTCATCTAAACTTGTTGCTGTTGTTCTTCTCTATTCAATTCATATCCATGTCGTTTCTTCGTAAGTTTATTTTTCTGTAAAACTTTTCTTTTAGTTTTTCATTTCGTGCATTTGGCTTGTATATCCTTTCTTCCATTCTCCATCCTGTCAACAGTTGACGGCAATAGG